CGTTTAACCAAGCCACATAATTTGGTGAAAAGTGGAAAAATAATTTTTGAATTTTTTTTTAGAAATGAATGGAGTTTGAATTTGTTCTTGCAAAGTTTCTTGGAACATTTTCAAGGGTCTATTTTTACATTTTAAGAAATTAAAATTTCCAGATTTCCATTGAAAGAAATTTTGAAAAAATCAAATTAACCCTTCTGTGTGGGAGATAAGAACAATTCTTTGTGATATGTATGTTTAATTGTATGTGTCGATCAACATAGTCCGGATTCTTCAAAGAACTATAATAATTACAAATGATGGATTCATAAAAATTAAATATTTGTAAATACAAACAAACGGGTACGTCGTACAATGTACATGTCTGTTACAAAACATTTTATCAACTGTATGTAGATTTAATTAAGGAATTAACATTGTGGCAAATTATACTCTACCTCAATGTTAGCTGAAAGCTTTGGCGGAATATATATGTAATAGTATTTTGATTGATTGTATGTTGATTGACGTCCCATTTGAGAATTTTTCACTCATATAGAGACGTCACCATATACCGGTGAAGGGCTTCAAATTTAGACCTTTACTCGGCACTCAGGGCCATTGAGCAGTGAGGGTTCTTTATCGTGCCAACGCCTACCGTGACACGGGGCCTCGGTTTTTAAGATCTCATCCGAAGGACCCGCAACTTTCACTTCAAAGTGCCGAGCGCTTGGCGAAGAAACAGTTGCTACCTATTTTCTTCATCGACTTAGGTCAGTCGCGGCTGTGATTCGAACATACGACCTTCCGATCACGGAGTAAGCGCTCCACCGACTGAGCTACCGTGACGGCTAATAGGATTTTGAGGCTCTCACTTCTGATGCATGTGACTCTTAGAAGTTTGCAATTGTATAATATAAAATAATGTATTGTAAAGCTTATGGGGCGTCTGCCTTAAGGAATAAAGAACTGAACTAGATATTAAGACTAAACTTAATGTATGATGTATATTGCCAAAAAACATTAAATAAATCTTTCATTTCTTTATCACATCAAGGTCATGTTACATGCATGTATATGTGTATCATTCTATTAGTCTGTGGTGCTTGTTGATGTCCAATTTGGATTTTCTCCACCTGTTTTCGGATAGCACTCACAAAACTACAGAAATAACATATCAAGTACCATTTTAATGATTTAATAAGCCACAATTTTAGATTAAAGATCTTTCACCTTTGTATCTAGCAACTGTTTTAAGCTCGGTTTAAATTTACGATATCTTAACAACTTATTGCTTTGTGGGAACCCTCTCTCTGAGCGTCCATGTAGTTTATAAATGTCAGAACCATGACCGGTCAGGTATTCTTTGCTCTACGGTTTATTACCTAGTTAATTGATATTTATCAATAATTATGGGATATTTATGTTTTGCTGTAAACATGAAAAGATTGTAGATACAAGCAATATGGATATGAGGTTCAAGAGAAAATGCTATTTACTACATAATTTTTTGCACTTAACTGTGGGCAAAGAAATATTTACTCCGAGCGGAAATATTGGAATTTTAGGTAAACCGCTAAAGTGATATTTTTATTGTAAGTTTTAATATTAGATTTTATTATTGGAGGGAAAAAAATTTGCAGAAACAGATAAAAATTGTATAATAATTTTTGACAGAAAAAATGTAAAATACTCACTAAATTAAAAGGAGACGCGGATGTTTTCATCAAATATTTTTTCTAAATTTTTTCAAGAACTTCACTAAGCATTCAATAAATGTACGATTTTTAACTTTTCTGTGGCTAATACGGTTTGATAAAAAGTACCAATATTGACTTCTATGCAAATCGAGGTCAATTTTGATACTTTTCTGGTGAGTATCAAACCATTTTATTACTAGAATTGGTTTATATCCATGTATTATTGGTACTGAATAAAATATATAGCTTTGAATGCTGCGACAGAATTTTCGTTAACGAACTTCTGTCTTAGATAGGTTCGAAATGTCCAATTTTAACAAATTAAATCGTTTGTAACGTGTCTTTTTTGATGTCGCAATCGCTGCATTACACACATGGACCCCGTGAATACGGCTTCCAAATCCTAATTTTGAATATCAAACACTATAAATGTGAAACTAAACTACGGCTTTTTAAAGATAATAAGTTTACACAAATGCTAACAATATTACATGCTTTACCAGTGCGTCTATTTCATATGCATAAAATCATAATAATTTTTTGAATAAGTCCCATAACTCAAACTTTCCTCATACATTAAAGTCACTGACTAAAGAAAGCACAATAATCGTATTAATCATATTAAAATTATATATATATATATATATATATATATATATATATATATATATATATATATATATATATATATATATATATATATATATATATATATATATATATATATATATATATATATAATATTACACAAGCTTTTAATACTTACTAATTTATCATGTAAATTATGATATTTATCTGTGAAGATATGTTATTAGAATGCCAATTGTATAAACAATGCTTATGATAATAAATTTCATGAACGTCAATCACACTTAAACATCTGTTGATAATAAAGAGTAAAAATATCTCATCAACAAACGAATTAAAGCAGTCTGTATAAAAGAAACACGATATATTACAAAATCACCTTAGCATAATATTAGATATTGCAATCTATATGCATGTTAAATTAATGCTACCGCGTGCTTTTCTTGAGACGCAACCCTGATCGTAAAGTAATTAAGGTTAGAAAAATACACGGTTCTGGCCGAGATGCTAGCTTGCCATGTCTTCAGCGAATTCTTCTACTTAACGTTACTTTGGCAGAAAGTGTTTATTCGTGATCAAGCCGCGGATAAGTCGGGAGGAAGTTAGGGTTCAACAATGATGCTCATGATAACTGTGAAGGTACTTTTCATACATGTATCACGTTGTCTATTGTATTGCATTGATCAAGAACGGTACTCAGCTTGAAGTGTAATGACAGGATTTATTTATTTCTGCGAACGGTAAATTTTAAATGTGACTTTGTTTTCGATACATTTTTAACAATATGCTAGCCTTAACATGTACAAGCCATCCTAATTTTTTTTTCTTTTTTTTTGAAAATTGTGTTTAAGTTTTGTTCTATAATTTATAAATATTTTTTTGAAATTTATTTTCAATTTGAATTATAGATTTCTAAATGCTGTTTAAAAACTGTTCTATACAATGCTTTATATTTAACTGAAAGAATTTCAGTATATATAGCACCTGCATCGATAATTTATAATTTTATACACCCTCCTATTGTTCTGGTATCTTGAAACGTTTGATTTTACCAGCGAAGAGCAGACCAGGTAAATGTGATAAAACTGCAAAGTCAATTAGTTCCAGGAATGGATGGAGAGAAAACACAAATAGACAGCTGCGGCTAAAACAATGGAGACATTAACCTTGAAATGAGACATAATCTCCATACATCGGATTCAGAACTCATGAAGTCAGAGATAGAAATGTTTCTGCTGTTAGGTGGCAAATCATCATATATGATTGCTTTTGACAACAATATTTGCAACGTAGTTGCTTGAGTGCGCATTTATATATTTTAGTATATTTTCGACAGGTTTGTGTTCAAGACCTCTTTGAATTAGGTATTTTTTTTTCATGATTTCAATTCTCTTGTCTCTTTTGTAAAAATTTGAGAAAATAATGTTTATTTAAAAATTAAACTGACTAGCTTCTTTGGAGGTAAAAAGAGATGAACATTATGTTTGATATTATAGAAAATTCATTTAAAAAAATCTTCTATAGGCTTTGAATTCTTTCATGCATATGAACGTTGGGATTTTGTCATTTTGAATCTCAAATTTTCTCTTTGATCTACGTAGGTTGTAATACGAATTGAGATTTGGAATCAAAGATATTTTGGGGCAAAAGCTTTTAGCTAATAAAAAGATACATTTTTTACCCTGAAAATTGAACACATCTATTTAAATTGACTGTTCATATTGTACCAGGTGCGTCAATGCTACAATGTAACAGTGTTTTTGCCTCATTATTGTCTTTTGTAGCATCAGTTTAAGAAACAGGCAGGGAAAAAAGTGTATCTTCCCGAATGGACAGTGTCAGCTTCCTGCCATGGTGTAAATGTTGAACTTTCTGGCTGAAGTTATACACAGAATTTCATAAAATAACTTGTTAATTTTGTATTTACCTCCAATCGGTAAATTCATATCTTCAAACAGTAGAAAACAGGTATTTCTCTTGATTGATTTTCGAAATGACTATGTGTAACTCGTACAATCAATTTGAATAAGAGGAAGAATATTTAAAGCATTTAACATTATGTTGGTATACAAATGAAAACCAATTTGTTTCATTTATTAATCGCTGCATAATTTTATGTGAAGATATTATCCTAAATAGGAATCTTAAAATTGCTTTTTTTAAATTATTGAATCTTAGATGGCAACACTCTTTTTAGCCTCTATGTATATACGGCACTGGTCTTGAACATGAAATACACTGCTACAAATAATTTTGTTTGTTGGTATTGGACTTTATATAATCTTATGAAATAAGTTATTTTCAAGTAGATTGTACCACTTACATTACTTATTGCGAAGATTAATCAAGATAAATACCCGTTTTCTAATGTTTGAAGATAAAACCACTTGTGCACTTTCTTTAATCGGCGTCTTCAATATCATGAGGAAAGTTTGAGTCATGGGACTTCAAAAAAAATAACTGTAATGTTACATGTACGCGTACATGCATATGAAATTGACGTTTGGTACAGCATGTGGTATTGCTAGCATTTGTGTAAACTTATTATCGTTAATAAGTTGTATAGTTTTACATTTGTAATTAAGCAACTAGACTCTCTTCATATTGGACTTTGTACATGTTATATTGTACAGTTATATGCAAAATTTTTCATAAAGTTTTTAAAACATAACACACAGTTCGGAATTCCTAACTATAATGTTGGTATTTCATAAGAGCCATATGTCGGTATTTTAGAATCCCTATCCAAGAAACTGAGTCAGAGAAACCAAGAGACTGCCAGTCTTATGAAGAAAGAGGAAGAATATTTAAAGCAAATAGAGAAAATTGAAGACGAATACCGAAAAAAGGAACTTGATCTTCTCAACGATTTGGACATTGCACAAGATAAAAATGAGGTACGTGATTTAGTACGATATTTCACAGATGCCTACAGATTTGAAATCTTTTGTACTTTTTTTTTACCAAAATAATTTTTAAAAAGAGTTTATTGCAAAGAATTTAACCATTACAATGCAGAGAAATAACAAAATATTTTAGAACATTAAAATTAAAAAAAAATGAAATCTAGAATGAATTGTTTCGTTCACAGGCTTATTATTCAAAGTAGTTATTTTGAAGTGATATAAACGTCTTTTTCCTTGTGTTAAGAAAAATAAACATGAAAAAAAATGATATCTTCAGAAAAAGTAATTTTTCTATGTCACGTTATCTATGGTACATTCTTCTAACAACTTTCTGGCGTAATCATTCTCGCAGTCAAATTATACGACCCTTCGTATCCAAATAACGATATCCCAAAATCAGGGTCAGTTAGCGAACATATTAAGATCATGTAGCTAAATTTAAATACAGGTGTAAAGAAACGTATACATTTTATATCATAAGAGAATATAACACAATATGGTGTTAAGCTATGCCTATAGGGAAGGGATCTTTGAATGATTGTAAATATTTACATATAATCAGTGAACAGAGTTATCATGGTGTGACTATCTGGTATCTACTGATACAGAGCTTACAATTTTCTGGTAGGATTATTTTTGGAATATTTTCAAGAGCTTTGAAGCTAATGATAAGCTACAAAGTCCAAGAAATCCAAACATCAAATGGGAGTTCACTAATTTAAGAAAGCAATAATGCAGTTTTAGAGTACTTTTGATTCTCTGCCAAAGACAACTTGCGCTTCCCCTGTTATCATTTAATGTTTGCTTGTTGTAGAATAGAAATATTCCTATTGACTGTTTGCTTTTCTTAAGTATCGTCATGATCTTAGAATCACGAAAGCAACCATTTGAAAATAGCAAACAATAGGAATATTCCAATAGTAAGCCAGCTGCAGTAAAGTGTGTAGCTATCCTGCATATGTTAAACTTAGAGGAAATGCAGCTGATCCATTGCATTTTCTAAAAATTCAACATTTGCCATTTTAGAAATTGAATCATTCCGCGTTGAGTTCATTGACAGTGATACATGTAATAGTAATGTGTAGGAAGACTGCAGTGTTTTTACTTCAGTAATGCTAAGTGTTACTGAATTGGGTTTTTACGAAATTTCAGATTCTTAGTAATCTACTGGATATCGTGAAAGAGCGTGCAGACACAGCAGAACGTGAATTAGAGCGTGTAGCAGCCTCATTCTCGGTAGCCAGTGACGGAAGCGGACGCAGTGCAAGAGTAATCAGCACTTGTAGTGACGTCAGCCTCGGAAGTGACGAAGTATTTGATGGAGCATCTCCTGGTGTGTCTCCCGGCTTGTCTCCAATAACTCCTGGCAGTCCAGAATCGCCATTAAAAAGACAAGTCATCCAAAGAGACTGGGATGTAAGTATTGCTATTTTCATAGCATCTTTGGGAAAGGAGAAGGGGGCAAAAATTGTGAATTTTTTTGGTCCCTGCCCCCCTGGGGCCTGAGGTGTGGAGTCAAAACCATCAAAATTAACGCAAATTTCACAAATCTTCTTTTCTACTTCTGGACATCATGCAAGCAAACTGTTGTCATGACTATAACATACTATGAGTCCTTTACCAAAATTGTGAAACTCATGGCTCTGGGGCCAGGGGTTCTTAAGTTAAGATGGGGCTCTATTGATTATATTCTGAAAATGCATAAATTCTTTTAAAAGCTTCTTCTCTCCCCCTGTATATTAAACAAAGAAACTAAGTGCATGGTTATAATGAGCAAACATGCCTCTTCCAAATTTGTGAATAACATGGCCCTTGGGTCAGGGGTTCTGGTGTTAGGATAAGGCTCTATGGATTATAGAGTGATATTGCATTATTTCTGTAAAAATCTCCTTTTTCGTTCCTGTGTATTTGGCAGACATTTTAAGTGCATGGTTATGAAAGACAGGGTTGCCTCTTCCAAAATTTGAATTTCATGGCCCCTGGGTCAAGGGTTCGATCTGGTGTTGGGTAAAGGGGGGGGGGGGGCTCTGTTGATAATATTGTGAAAGTGCATTATTTCTTTGAAAATCTTCTTTTTTGCTCCTAAGTTTTATGGTAAACAAACAAACTAAATGCATAGTTGAGATGAGCAAGGGTGCCTCTGCCAAAATTTTAAGTTTCATGGCCCCTGGGTCAGGGGTTCTGGTGTTGAGGGAATAGCGGGCTCTATTGATTATCCAGTAAAAATGCACAATTTTTAGAAAATGTTCTCATCTGCTCCTGGATATTTAGCAGATAAGCCAACTGCATAGTAATAATGAGCAAGGCGCATCCTTCAAAATTTTGAAATTTGTCACCCCAGGTTCAGGGGTGAAGTGGACCACTTTGTCAAGTGTTCTGATGCTGGACGTGTCTCTTATAATTCGTATTCTGCTGAAAAAAGTTATTTCCCTTTGCTATTAACCTTTGATGATTAATCACTGTAAATAATGTAACTGAAAGGACGAATTTAGTAAGAGATTTATACAAGGATTTTTATAATATATAATACAAAAAGTTCTTTCATGGTTCTTAATGGTTAAGTAGACTTATTAATTATAGATAAATAAAAAAGAGACAAAAAAAAAAAACCCCACATATCTTTGTACATTAATTGTTCTTCATAGACCAAAGAAGGCCAATATAAGAGGGAATGAGATGGGTTTACCAATAGTCTTCAAGCACTTAGTCTATTGTTTTCTTTAGTTTACAAAATAATAGTGACAAATGGGGGGGGGGGGGTAGAGATAAGTAAATAGATCTAGTTTAAGATTTATTAAGAAGTATCCTACTTATTATCTTGTTGGTCAATAAGTTGCTTTTGGGCAATATAGCTTCGTCTTAGGCTATCAGTTTGTTGTATTTCATGCTTCTATGAATCCTTTTCAGTGTTGTATTATACTCAAGTGACCGTTAAGGCCCATGAGCTTCTTGTTCATTTATGCTTTCAAGATAAAAGATACGAATAAATGTTACAAGCATGCTCAGTTTTATTATCAAGCAAGGTTATTAGGTCATACGGTTCATGCAATATTATGCAATTATACCATTATAATACTATGTGAACTTAAGAATAGGTGGGGTTTTTTTTACCTTTCACGAGAGCATCATGAGAGTTGGTACATAACGAAGAAAACGATTTGATAGCCTACTTGAATATGGTTCACAAGAGAATATAAGAATTTGGGTCCATCATATAAAGAATTTAATTTGTTCTTGTGCTCCTCATCATTATTGGTCGAAGTAGAAAATATTGCAAGATGTATTTTTGGCGGTGGAAGATCCTAGAATTTGTTTATTGTTGATTGGAAAAATACACAAATATCTCGACGCCGGGGGTCATTTTACCTGAATATGTTTGATATTCTGACTTAATAGCTTCTTGTCTATGGGTCCTGTTTTCTCTTGTACGTTTAAAATCACCATTGATTGTAAATTGTAAATTGTAATGCCGGATCAAGCAGGCTAAGAGATTGACATTGCCAAAGATGATTAATTTTCTCGGGTTATGGATTGTAAAAATCGATTTTAATGTCTCTGTAACATGAAAGGATTCTTTTGAGAAGCAAAAAATATGATTTTTAAAGTTTAAAAAGTAGGTTACATAAAATGAAGTGAAGTCTCTGGTTTTGTTGATTTTCTTCTTTTTAACTTGGAGCGGGGGACATTTTCTCATTCAACCGTTGCCATGGAGCATGTGTTATGAAGGATGACGATGGACTTGGTAAATACCAAGACATTTGGAATCGAGAAAATCCTTTGCTCGAAACATATATGCGTGTTCTCAAATTTTAATATGTATAATTAATACTTTCATACTCCTTATTTTATCTTTCCCTTACCTTATTGCAAAGAGAAGATAGTTTTAAATTCATACTTTAAAGTTAGATGATACTTTTATTACGTAGATATTAAACAAATGTACCAAGTTCTTCTCCGAGATCAAGGTCATTAGGTCATGCGGTTAATTGTAATGTATCCATTATCAAGCCTTGTAAAATAATTGCTGCTTTTTCCAATTTATTATTAATGCTAACATAATCTTTTTCTTTCCTTCTCTCAGGTTCCTATCGCCATTTTCACAGTATTTGTGTTTTTTCATACTCACTTATGTTATAATGCACTCTGCATCAAAATATATGATTAAACCCTTAACAATTATGACCAAATTATGACAAAATGGTATCCCTAACAAGTTAAATGATATATAACACTCCCATGTTCTAGACAATAAAAATATTAAAGATTTACTACCTAAAATATGGGGTATATTTTGCGTTATGCTGTTGCAGCTGAAAAATGGCTTTGTTTTCCAGTTTTTGTTTCAGGAGATTTACAATAGAAACTCTTAGTTATAGATGTCAAATCATTGTGAAATTATCCCTCTTTTATATGCAATTTACTGTATGTAAATCAACAAAATATTAGCAAAATTATGTTTAAATATGTGAAAATGCAGATACGTTATGAAATTTTATAAAATTCTACTGTTTGAACTTGCAGTTTAAAAAAATATATGTTAATGCATTACTCTTACTTTAGGTTCATTTTAAAATTAGAGTTAAATGATAAATGAAACAATAAAGAAAAGTTTGAGTGGATTCTTCGAAACTTTAGAAAATGACACATTTTCTTCTTACTGGCATAAAAATGTCCCAAAATTCTGTAGTGTCCGCAACATGTGCTTATTCTGGAATGCATTATGAATTATATTTCTTTTATTTTACATGTAAGAGGCCAGTACAGCTACTAATCTATCTACCAAAAAATATCAGACTTTAGCTCAGTGTTGCTTGGAATTCTGGCAAATATATTGTGTTTTGTAGAGTCCGCAACGCTGTAGAGTCCGCAACAGCTTTTTAAATTCACAGTTTCTTCAAAGAAATGTAACATGATTTCAATTGATCATCACTATAATTGTCCAAATATTCAATACAAATATGTAAGGTTACAAAACTTAGTGGAACTATAACTTCATACTTTGAATAACACCCATAACGACTTGTTTATGCATAATATTCAAAATCTTTCGATTGTCAGTCTTATGTTATATATTGAAAGTTAATTTTCATGTGGTATTTAAAACTGAATAAGTGGAAACTAAAGAATACATCAAGATGTTAATTGTTAATTAATAAGTCTAGTTCTCATTAATACAGTTGTGTTGCGGACACTACAGTAATAACTATATACCACATTCATTCATTATTTTCACTTTTTATTTGATTAAATATTTTTGAAATGTAAAACACTTCTCTGATATTTTGCTCCTTTGATAATACATGGATTTAGATAACAAATGGTGATTTTTGTACAAGATAACACTTCAAACTTACTGGTATATATTTGGGTTTTATTTTCCAGGCCGGATAGCCATTTTTGACTAGCCTTTTTTATTTCCCTACAATATAACACCATTTACTGTACATATAGAACTAGTTAGAGATTAAGATTTTCAGTTTACTCCGTTAAAACCAAATATGGTGTCATATAGCAATATTTCAATATATTGAAGTGTCCACAACAATTTCAATACTGAAAAAAAAATTATGGATGCCTCAGTAAATTCTTTAATTCATTGAATTTATCTATAAAACTATTTGTTATAACTTCTTTAATTGTTTTAAAATAAGTAAAATCATAGACATTTTTTAAAACTGCAAAACAATTATACATCAAGAAATAATTAATGGTCCTTGTTATGTGGTTATTTTCATCTCAATAAACCACATTCTGCATCTTTTTATATGATACATTTTCAAGAGTTGATCCGGTGGTATATAATGCAGCCTAGAAATGAACATTTATCAACAATTATTTTTATAAAAATGACAAAAGATTATTCTTATGGTTACTTGTAGTGTCCGCAACAAAAATGCTATGCATTTTCAAAGCTAGACAAGATACAAACGAAGATATCCAGGGTGTTATGACAAATGTATTTGAAATTTAGAAGTATTCAATTTAATTTTCACATGATAATTATATAGGTCTTATGTGTGATTGTAAAGGTAGATAAACTTAAGGAAGGGAGATAAATTAGGCAAAAAAATTAGCAAGTCATTAATGTGAATAAAATTTTTGTTTTCAAAGAGAACCATAAGATTTTTCTTTTATTTCACTGCAATTAGGTACATAATCAAAACCTGCAAGAAGTTTGGAATAAATAAATATCTTTAATATTTTATTTTAGACATAACAGGTGTAATGTAGTGTCCGCAACACAAGGTCTCGCACAAAATTTGACTTCGCATAACTTTTTTGGTAAGAATGCTTATATAAAAAAAATTTGGGACTCATTTGCATAGGTATTGTACTTTCTAGAAAACATGTCAATAATATGCTGTTTGACTTTTTATTTTTTGGTCCAAGTGCAACACAATTAGCACAAATACTGTGAAAATGGCGTATGTATGCTCCCAATTATATAGATTTCCTAATTATTTCTCATCTACCTTTCGACAAGATATGAATCAAATTGCTTAATTTCTTTTGCATGAAAGAAAAGCAATTTCAGATATTTTAATACTGCCTAATTTTTACCCCTGCTTTTATGAACTATCAGCAATTTCTGTCCATGTGAATATATTTATAGATATGTAATTTTTTACCCTCATTCTTTGAACTTCTTTCTCTTGAATATCTGGCAGATGATACAGACTCGTTTTTTCTGCTTTAATTATAATGCCATGTTCAATTAAACGGAACACATCCACAGTCATCAGCAAAATGTTTTTCTAGAACTTTCCGTATTGTGTTTCCCCCAATCAACTAGCTGTAAAATCTTGTACAGAATATTAACAATTGTTTCTCTAGATTTGGTGACTGGTAATTAAAGGACATTTCAAACAGTGTGTATGTAAATACTTTAAGATGCTTTCTTTATTCCCTATCTAACAAAATCACGTTACGTTAACTCTCTTCTATTGATGTGGTTCTTTGTGTACTTGCCTATCAGCCAGATTGAAGAGGTCCAATACCATATATAATAAAAATGAAATTTCATTCTTTTTTATCACTCGACAACGAAAACCCCCAAGAAACACTTGTTTTAAGACATTCATTTGCGTACTTCCCTGCAAATGTTCAAGTTCAGAAAACAAATTCGTATAACAACAATTTAATGGGAAATGTTACTTCTTCTGCAAGGATCAGTAATTTGAGAATTTATTTGCTTGTCTTTATTTTTCGACGTTTGAATTTACTCAGAAGAAAAATCTTGATTCTTTAGAACCAGTTTCGTAAAAGGATTGACTGCTTGGAACGTCTGCTGGCGGAGGAGAGACAAAAACTAGCGGCAACAGAGAAGAAATTAGCTCTCGTGTCAACAGAGAGCATCTCTACCGCCATGTCGGACGACGCTAAGCTTTTCGCTAGGGAGAAAGAACTCCTTCAAGCAGAGGTAAGTTTGTTTTTGAGCATGTTAAAACTTTAAAAACGTATCTAGAAGTATCTTTAGACAAAAGTTTATTTTCAATTGATTCTAAAAATATGTGTTATTATATTAAATATATTCCTGCAGTATTAAAAAACACCTACTCTATATGCCTGTTACTTTTAAATGAAAGCTAAAATCGGTTGCATTACTTATGTACCCTTAACTTCATTACAAATCTGTTTCATCGTTTACCCCTTTCTCGGTCTCTCTTTCATTAAGGATGCGTTGTTATCAAAACAAACGAAATGTAATGCTTTGATACAAATATCACGGAGGAAAAACGTAAATAGAACAGAATGATGAAAGCGAAAGTCTGAAATGTGTGTGGCCCTAAGATAATCCTTATGCATTGTAAAGATACCGAAAATCTTTGATACATTACGTATGGAATTTACACTTAGGTAAATATATGGTATATTTTGCAGATTTTAGAAGGAAAGAAACTCTTGAAGATAGCAACAGATCAAATAAAGGGCTTACGAGAACGAATGTTCACACTGGAAGAAGAAAATCGATGTCTGCGGGCTACCTGTGCCGCTGAAAATGTATTTTCCTTAGAATGTTTTTCTCCATTCACCTTTTTATACGCCCATCTTAAGACTGGGCGTTATATGGCATGGCGATCATGCCCGTCTGCCTGTTTGTTAGCTTTTTCGTGTCTGGCTTATAACCTCAATATTATGCATTGAGTAATTAAACTGTCAGCTGATACAAAAGAAGGTTGCTGTGACCTTTAAATAAGGTGATATGGCCAAATTTGGTAAAATCCTGTTTGGCTCATCGCTGGAAAACTATTAGTCCCATGATTGTCAAACTTGATCAATTAATTCTTTCTTAAGTAGAAAGCGTATTATACCCTACTAAAAGGTCGCTGTGACCTATAATTACATGTCAGTTAAAATTTAAAAAAAAAAACTGTATTTTTCAGTTACACAATCCTTACAAATATAAAAGTATTGTAGTAACCTTATTAAAAATGTTAAGTTAAGAAATTACACATTTTTTCATCATAATTATATTGTACAGCTATACATAATATATACATGTATAATATTTCTTTTGTGTCGATAAGAGAGAAATTTCAAGCTTAATTATCAAGCAATGGTACTTCAAGGAGCATTTTGATTAGAGACAAGTTCTACATGTATCTGTCAAGTTAGAGATAAAATAACGAGTTTAGTGTAAAAAGGTTGTCTTATTTTTTTCTGCTAGAGCATCTCTGATCAAGCAGGTGTTATCTTAATCTCGGGAATAGGGCAGACTAATCTGGCCTCTTTATTCCAATTGCTTGCACGTGTCAAATTAAGCGTTCTTGTTGTTTCAAAATTGATTTGGTATAAGGTTATTAAAATGAATTTGATACTATGTAAAATAATATATATTTATTTTTAAAAAAAGTAAAATTTGTTCGACCATATCCCCTCTCTAGAATGTGATAGATGAGAAATTCATATACATGTAAGTTGAAATGATTAACTTAATTACTGTTATTACAGTATTACCTGTTTAGATCGGACATAAAAAGACACCGATCTTAAATTTATTGGTTCTGTTGTGACCCACACTTGACTCCAGTTTAAATGGAAAAGCCTTAAATTTGCAAAGTAAAATTCACTTGTAATTGTGATAATGAGCATATTGCAAGAAAATGTACATAACCACAAAACATTATGCAAAGTGTTTTGCCTTTGAATTCAGGTGATATGAAGTAACTCGATGAAAAATATGTAACGCGAACCATCATTTTTTTTCCTGAAAGATCCAAGTTTAGAAAATAATCAAATTTTAAGGAATGGCTAAAATATCCTTCGATGAGTATCAGTCGAGTTTTCAACAAAATTTACTATACTATGCTTCAGTACAAACTTTAATATATTTGGAAATGACATGACACATTGATAATTAACAATGATATTCTGATTTTCTCTGACAATGACACTGATTTACTATGATACTTAAATACTTTACAAGTAACTTGATATTTTACCTTGACACTGATTTACTATGACACTTTACTCTGTGAGTCATATTTCTGATTGATTGTAAGAAACTGTTCTCAAACTGTGAAATGTTTAAGGACATACGCAACGTAGGTTGAACTTTATTGTCTTTTTCCCTGGAGTTGAAGAGTTCCAATACTTGAAGGAACTGTGTGCTACATTTTAATGTCTATATATGCTGTTGTACACTTCTTCTAAAACAAGTTTGGATAAACAAAACATCTAGAATATATTTTTAGTAATTTTTGTATATTTTTTCTTTGAATTATACAAGAATTTCCATCAATTGATATCTTTTCAAAACCCCTGGTTATACATGCTGATTTTTTGTCTACGAACATCTGATGGCACTATAATCTTAAATTAAGAATACCTTGAAAAACTATCAGTAGGTAAGGTACGTTGCGTATGTCCTTAAATATACATGTAACATTACCTCTAAATATGAAAAAAAAAATGAGAATTGAAATTCATGAAATACTGTAGATTCCTTATTTTACACGAGTGCTTAATATTGCGAAATGACTCAGACGTCAAATCGTGAGTGGACGGTTGATCAACAGATTTTATATGGAATTCAGCACCATAAAAATGAAAGCGAGCGATTTTATTTCGCAAGTGAGGCTTCTCGCAAAATTACGCGATAATTAATTCCTCGCGTATATTTAGGAATCTACAGTATTGCAATCTTCATTTCATAGTAATGAAAACTTTGATTGACTGGGAGGATAAACAGGGAGTTACTTTGGCAAAAACTTTGAGACCGTAATTCACTGTCATAGTGGCAAGAACTTTACAACTTTCATTTAGAATAGGATTTTTTATGATTTGGAGATTCTTGCTGAAATTAAAGTTAAATGGAAGCTACATGGAACCTCGTGGATTTGTTCACATATTAAATTTTATTTGATTTTATCAATACATTCCCAAAATATATATTGCAGGCCGAAAGTGAGGAGTCGGAAAACGAAAAGACACCATCTTATCATATTGACGAGAGGCCTTCATTTGATGTGGCGACGGTATGTAATTATCACTGGCTTCTGTTTCAAAAACTACGTATAAAAATGAATTGTATTACGACATTGAATGAAAATTATATGTCTAAACATACTGTTGCTAAAAACAATTATTCCAGAATTAATTGATGGCTGAAATTTTTATGCAAACTGTTGGCATGTGAATAAATATGTGATGTAATTCTAATGGTGTATTTACAATTTGAATATCCGCCAAACGAAATCATTAATGTGTTTATAATACGTCTTTCATGAATTGGGCATAAGTGATATAATCTCATTAAAACATTTCTTCCTTTGAGAAGAATTATAAACAAAAGCTTTCATATTCATCAATGAGTAATGCAAGGGTGCATCTAATTTCTTGTCTTCTGCTATGCATGTTATCTTTTGCTAACCATTTTGTCATGTTCTTGCAAACATTTCAATTAGTTTTCCCGAATTAGTTGTTCACTTTATTGTTGGCAAGATAATTAAACTTTGGAATTAAAGAGGTTATACATGTAGTTTGATAATGAGTTGTGTATGTATATATTACAGAAGGATGCGTCTAAAATCCAAACCCCAATAGACGTGTCTAATTACAGAGAGAGAATTGCAAGTTTGGAAAAGCAATTGAAAGAAGTAAGCAAATTTACATTTATAGTAACACTTTATAAATACCGCATGGATGATCATGCAGTATATGTACATTCAAATATTTGTGAGCATAATACGAAACATAGCCAATACTGTAGTATACGAACGTTTTAACTCTAACACAAAGAATGCACACTTCATCTGAACAGTATATAATTACCAAATGTCCTTGAATAGATAAAGATTACATAAAACCTTAAGTAGTTTAAAATACCTAATTAAAGCCATTAACAAATCTACAAAGTAGCCAATTGAAATACTGTATAATCATTATATAAATTAATATGAGTAGAGAGTTTCATGATTGGCATCATATGGTTTATGTAATGTAAAGATATAGCTCATTAATTAGTGGGTACAATCACTGTAAGTGTCTATTTGGAATGTGTGCATCGTATATCTATTGATCTAACTTAGATCATTGCTTCATGAATATTTGCCTAGGTAGAAGCACAATGGAGATCAAAATGTACCACCATTGAAAAAGAAAAGATTGAGTCCCAGCAGCGACTACGAGAGTTAACTGCGGATTCGGAGGCGCTAAGAGGATCGCTTAAGGGATTCAAAGAAGATGTTGGAAATAAACAAAAACAATTGAGGGAAATTGAAGAGAAAATTACAGTTAATTCAGATATATTAAAAAGGAAAGAAGAGATCATGAATGAGCAAGAGGAGATAATCAAACAGAGGGAAGAAGACTTGCAATCACTTCTCGATCAAATCTCGCACAGAGATAATGAAATACGAGATTTGCGCGAGAAATTGCATCCAATAGACGAAAAATTTAAAGAAAAGGAAGATATAATCAAATCTTTAAAAGATATTATTGAGTCAAAACAGGAAGAAAATAATTATCAAGCTGAAGAAATTTCAGAACTCAATGAAACAATTGAATTGAAACAAAACGAAATCGACGAACTTTCGGGAAATTCAAAAACTCAAAATGTTACTAAAGCGGAATGGGAGCAGGATAACAAACAGCTTAAAAATGATTTGGAAACAATGGCATCGAATCTTGGTAAACTTCACACGGATAATTTTAGTTTACAAGAGGAGTTGGAAAAAACCAAGCAAGCTCTAAGCGAAGCAATGGTCTTGTGGAACAAGGACCGCTCACAAATTGAAATAGCCTACAATGTAGCCAAGGAAAAGCTGCGAATATATGAAGAGACCGCAGCAAAAAAAGAAAGTCAAATTGTGGCTCTTCTTCGAAAAGAAACCCATAAGTTGTTGGAAAGTAAGGAAAAAATTTCGACTGATTTTAGAGTTATGAAAATCGAAAACGAAGCTAACATGAGGACCCTGAAGAGTGAGAAACTGAAATTACAGGACGAGCTTACGCAGAAGATACGTCAATTAACGGCTGAAATGACGTCAAATGATAAAATGAAAGAGGAACTTCAAAGATTAAGGGCACAGGTAAGTTTGAGCTCAACTGAATGATATGTTTTCATCTTGATACATGTAATTCTATTTTTTAACGCAACTGACAATAAAGTGGGTTAGCTTAATCTTGAAATTCGTTGTGTTATCATGACATGGATTCAACAATTCTGATTTTAGGAAGATGTGGCTTATCAAATTCAATACCATGAGAAAGTTCTCCGTGCAGAATACCTGGCAATGAAAGTCAGATACGAAACAAGATTAGAAAATCTTCAAAAAGAGCACATGAAACTTCTAGGCGTTCTTGATAAACTACAGCGTGAAAAGGTCCTTAATCAAGAGATGATAAAAGGTGTACAAAAAGGAATGGGAACTATGAAGGAAACCTACACCAAAGACCTGGAGCATTGGAAAGAAGAAAGAAATGTACTTGAAAAGCACATAAAGGAGGTATAGGAAGATCCCTCTGAAATTACCAATATTAAGAAATTAAGGAATCGCACTGTCCCTATAAATCCCGCCTAGAAATTGCTGAAAAGTAAAAATGAAATTAAAATTATATATTTTTTAAAAATATCTTCACAGATAGAATCTAGTCGGAAGTTGGCCATTGAACTTGAGGCTAAAGTGGAGGAACTGAAGCAGCAGCTTGCTGACCAGGAATATGAACGGGCCGAAATTGTCAATCGTATGACCTCAGAACGATCAAAATGGGAAGTGGAGAGATCTGGGATGCAAAGTCATATAAACCAGGTCATTTTTATGCTAATTTCCCTACCTTCTTTTTAATGAAACATTTGACTGAAGATCATTTGACCTGACTTGATAGCTCTGTGATATCAAGAGCAAAGAACGAATTAAAATTGAAAGAATCACATTACTATATGAGCAATTGTATGAAATGCAATTTTTGTGTTAAAAAATATATCTCACATTACCATCAAACATGTGGCACTGACTTCATTGTCTTCATTCTGTAAAATGCGTGTCTTGTTCTCACGATAGTTAGATATATGTTAGATGTACACAAATGAGTAAAGTTAATGGGAACTGGAACACTGCTAATGACATTAAAATAACATTTTTACAGTTGGAAGAAAAACTGGATACTGTAGCATATTCACAGTACAGAACTAAAGACATGCAAAGCCGAATGGAAGTTGCATGGGAATCTGAGAGAGCTGAGCAAAAGAGATTACTTAATGAAGCACACGAACTGGCAATGGACCTGCAGAGACAACTGAAATGTCGGGACGACGAACATTCAAGAGAGCGCAAAGCTTTACTGGAACAAATGAAAAGACTCAGGAAGGAACTAGATGAAGAACAGTTATTGAGAGAAAAGAGACTTACTCAGGTTTGTTTGTTATTTATTTAGTTATTACATGTAAAATCAAATAATGAAGGTAGTACTGGAAGTTTTTTCTCTTTTGTAAAAAAAAAAAAGGTTTGATTTCCATTCTGGAAACATGTTTTGGAATGTTTATGACAAAAAGGCAAGATAAAGTACTGACTTATGTCCAAAACTCAAGTATGTACTTGTAATGAATAACAAATAGACTTTTAAAACTTATAAGGTCTGTTTTAATAATGATAACATGGTCAGCCTTTTCTCACAGTTATGATCTATTCAAACATTCTGACAATTAATTTTGTATAGATTGAATCAAGTAAAAAAGAAATTGAAGAATTAAAGAAGAAATTAATAGAAATGTGCCATCGTTCCGAGAAAGACCAAGAATCAACAATGAAAGACAAAGTGGATCTGGTCCGTCGTTTGGCGGAATTTCGCAGAACACATAAGCGGGATCAGAGAAGAATCGAAGATATTTTATCTGAGGTATCAAATAATATGATCATTGTAATATTCATAAGTTACTAGTATTAAGATTTGATCGGTTTAAATGTTAAAATTTGGATTCATAGAGATTCATTATAATAGTAGTTAAGACATTATTTTCCTTACAGATATCTTAATTACTTGTATACAATTAACATGATGTAAAAATTACTTGGCATGTCTTTTTGCTCAATTCTTCAATTTTTTCCATAATAAATTGCTTTTTTCTTAATAAGCTGACAAGGTTGCGGGAGCTTGCCTCAATAGTGATTGATTCTGAAAACCCGGATGTGGAATGTGACGTCATTTCCAGATTAGAACAATTAGCTAAACCATCATCAGAATCCAAAAGACTCTCCATACATGCAAATATGGATATGAAGCAAAAAGTAAATGAGGTAAAAACTTATTTTTTCTATGTTTCTTACAATGCAAGAAGGATATTACATAAAAAAAAACTGCTTTTCATTTAGACTTGTTCTAATAGTTATTTTAGTGCTATCCTATTTTAACTCTCAATGAATATTACAATGTATTTTTGTTTTCCATTACAGGTTGTACTGCAATATATGAAAGAGGTAATTTTATTAATATTATGCCCTAATTTCTTATAACAAGAGAATGAATATGTATTTTCTATTTCCCTTAAATCCATGTATCTGGCTTGAGTTTATTGACCGTCTGATATGAGAGGTAACTCTTACTGGGATAAATGTCTATCATGACCATTTCTGCCAAATTTTGCCCAGTTTCAGGGTACATGTATAATGAAATTGTGTGAATTTATAATTCTTAAGGAACGATGAACCTTAATTTGTACCTCAGTTCTGTTTGACTTTTCAATTTGTGATCAGCAGGACATATTCAATAAACTCTTAATATTTATTTGGAAAAATCTGTTACATGTTAACTTAATATGATGTGATATTGTATACATTTTAGTCCTTAAAGGAAATCCACTTTGCAGCAGATAATTTGTCCAGACCAAGTTCACGGGGATCAACGGACGACGAAAGACGGAGATTGCGAAGGTATGAAATGTTTGGAATTTATAATTCAAATCAAAATCAAATTACCGTCCACAATATCTTTTTATTTGTAGAATAAGATAACATTATATTACATTTACGTAAGTTAATGTTATATTTTTAGATCACTACCTAATTCATTTGGAAAGTAAACTCTCTTCCTAAATTAAGGCTTAGTATTGGAATTTTGTTAATTGAGTGAAAATATATTATACAATTGAAAATTTTATATTTTTGAATGGGTTTTAGCAGGCTTATTATTTATAGGATTTTAATAGATGTTGGCATCCTACTAAACTTCTGATATAAATTTCTTATTGTGTTCACGATTTCGGCTACATAGCGCAGTCAAGTTGGACATAATACACGTTCTAATATGCTTTCTATTTTTGAAATTGTTCATGATAAATCTTGAATTTAACATCTCAAGTCAAATGAATATAACTTATGTGGAATCATGATCCAAAGTAGTTTTGAATTAGTGATATAATGAAAATTCAGTACAATTGAAATCTTTTTTTTATATTGAATATTTAGCAAGTACATTGTATTCATGGTGACAGATACGAGTGCTTTACCCATGCATTCAAAATAACAAATGTACAAATATTCCTCTACCAAACTTCAAAATTCTAGCTTGATGGGTTCACAGCTGCAGTCCCTTGTGGGGCTAAGTTATTCATAGCCTGCAAAATACTTAGGTAACAGTCCAGGCCAATGGGTCTCTTGTTCTATAGACCCTTAAGTATATAGAGTGAAAATGACAAAATTAAATTATAATACCTTATTTATAGCATTTTTATGTAGTAATGTGTGTGTTTGATATACTTTGAGATTACAACAATCATTTCTCACATCTAAAATCTTAAGCTAATTCTTTTAATATTTCATTTTATGATTAACGATCCGTTCCCTCAAAATTTATTTTCTACATTTAATTTAAATGCATTGGTAATTGAGTAATATTTGTTTGCCTATTGTAGAAGTATTTCCAGTTCAGAGTTGGATTTTCTACTCAAAGACGAAGCAGTTGTAGACCAACAAATAGAGACATTGAAAGATTCCAGACGAAACACTCCAACAAAATTCCATGATTTGGTCAGTAATAAATTAAACAGAAACATATGCTCTAACGGACCTGGAGATCTCATGGACGTCAGAACAGATGACTCAGACACTGAGATGACCATTGATCCGGAACCTGGAACCGTGAGTGATCGCCATCAAAGAATCATGATTGATGTCCATCATGAAGAGGGCGTCACATCCAAGTTCCCTGTTCCTCCACCGACTTTCTTATTACCAAAATCTCACCACGTTGTTTCTGTAAGCTCACAAAGTTCAAAAAGTGTTTCAACAACAGTTACGACAATGGCTACATCAAGAAAAGTTCCAAACAGTCTGTCTTTAAATATGTTAAATGACAGCTCTAACAGGAATGTCGTCTCTGCCAGTGCTTCACCAGTACATATACCAAATAATTTTGACCTTATTAACCCCAAATCCAAGTCTGAACTAAATATTCCATCTAAAAGTACACGGGTTTCTAAGGAAAATGCTCGACGGAGATTCTTTGAAAAGGTTGAGGACAACGATGGACAATCTTCTAATATCAAATCCATTAGTGAAAACAATCTTTCCATTACAAACAATGGAGTAATGATTTCTGATAATTCAAACAACCATACAGACGTGGAATACACTAAGGAAATCAATAATAAACACGGGTGCTCATCAAGTGATAGTGAAACAAAATTACACAAAACTGAGCATGGTGAAAAGCATTTAAAAATAACCCAACCAAAGAAGAAGCGAAAATTGTTTAAAAAGTCTGTTAGCATGGATACTTCTGCCGTACATAGCACGCTAGCAGAGGGTGGTGTTTCAGCTGTATCGCCTGGGGCACCATCGTCGTTGTCGCCTTTTGAACTCTTTGCTGCTGTGAAGCGCAGATTGAAGCCGTCGTTAAAACGATCATCTTCATTAACAGAAGGTCGAAAAGGCCGCTCTTCGGGCGAGACCGACAGCTCCAAATATTTAAGTCAAAGCGATGCTTATGCAAGCTCGTCTTATTCCTCCAGAAATGAGAGTTTACGGGAATCACCAATTTCAACTCCAGTTATGCATGAAGCACAGTCCGTAGATTCAGGGTCACTCATTCCGCCACCCACACCCCCAATTTCAATGATGAACAGGAGACTGTTACCAAAAGTATAATCTTTCTTACCTTCAAGACGAAAATGAAATATTTTATAGCACTGGAATAATAAGTTTGATTTTGAAAACTTGACACTTTTATATCAAGTTTAATTTTAATTTACTGGGAACTGCTAAAATTCTATAATGAACGATTTTTGCTTACCGTTTTTCTTTTCTGTTCATTGATAATGGGTTAAAATGCCTGCCAGTATTTGTGTTTTGAGTTTTATGAGTTTTGAATGAGATATGCTAATGGCCTCTTTACTATTTTTCAGCTTCAGGAACTACATGAAGATGATGGTCGTAAAAGCAGAGGAAAGAAAAACGAAAAGAAGAAAAAATTCCGTTCAAAGTCGGCCGAACGAGCCGCAAGTGGGCCCGCCTCCTTAACACAAGACATTGTTTTTAATGAGGATCTTGCCACACCTTTTTCTCATTCCCCTTTTAGCGAGACTTCAGTTTAATTTTGACTTACATGTAGTTATGGATAGATGAACTCAGTAATTGATTTTAATTTGTTTGTGAATCCCATTCCATAAGCTTTTAGTAAAAAAGGTATGTCAAATTGCACATTTATGTACCTCAATTGTACTTTACACATTCATGGTGGACATATATATGATATTATTTTCCAATTATGGAGAAATTGATTGCATTTTTATTTATACGTTTCAAATTATTTAATTTTCTTTTGCATGAAATATATAAAGAAAGTGTGTTAACTTCGATAGAATATTCATGGTTTACTTGATTTTGTTTACTGGCAACAGTTTTGAAATCTAAAGTAAGCTTAGAAGTTCTATCTTTTCCTCTTGATTGACAGTTTCGACCCTTATATTTCGTGTCGCACAAGAGGCCAGGTATTCTGTAAGACATCGTTGAGTGCACTGTGTGAGACGGTGATTATTTTTTAAATTAATTTCTGCTAATTAATTGTGCATTTATAAGGTTACGTTCCCTTTGAAGACCCAAATACAATGTACATGTAGGGATACAAAGACCCCCATGAAGAATGTTAAAACGAGAATTTACCAAATGCTTTATGTCAGTGGCTTTTATCCTTCATCTCTACTCAAGCATATGTATCAAGGAGTTTCTGAATGTTTATTTATTTCATTAGCATCGATTAAATATATATCTTATACCTTTGCATGCATTGTACATGTAGATTTTGACTTTTACATGAATATACATATAAGATTTTTTTTAATTACATCTACATGTACATTGTGTATCCTTAGATATTGGATGGCTAAAAAATAATTTAGCAGCATCCAGTGCAAACAATGGAGACATGTATGAAACATACAAAGGTAACATTAATATGATTTGTTTTAATATATGCTATGATAGTTTGTAATGCGATTGTAATGAACTGCTGTAGACCACTAAATTTTCGCGACACTTTATTTTCGCGAAATAGTCATTGACTTTATAAGCGAGACATAATTTTCACGAATAATTGTTATTCCTCTATATAATCTTAAGAAATACTATTGTACGCGAGAATGAAATTTTCGCTAGCTGTCTCGCGTAATTACGCAAAAATAAAGTTCTCGCGAAAGTGATTTAGAGTAATACATACAGTACCGTTATGTAATTCATGAGCAGCATAAACATTCAAAGTGTAATCTCAGTTGTTCTAGTCTATTATTGTGATGTACGTTACTACTTTGCCAGGTTATACACGTTATGATTTCTTAAGTATTTTTTTCTTCAAATTACACATGTCAAAAGTACTATGTACTTAGAAATCCGTTTTAAACTAGCTCTACAACTAAGATATCAAGTACAGATAATATGCTTATCATTCAGATGGTAGTTTGGTAAACAGAGATAATCCTACTGCTGTCGTTTCTCTTGGAGATAAGATACTTTTATGTATTGAAATTTTCTGTGATTATCCATTTTCTACAACTTGTAAAAATACATGTCGTGTATGGTTTGTGTTTCAAAGATGAAACACGTGTAGAATATATATCTGGGCAGTTCTTTGTAAGTTTTGTTATTATATACATCTTTTAATTAGAAAATATTTTGTTACAGAAATTTGATTGAATTTAGATAAAATATATTTGAACGAAATATATTAGTTTGTGTTGTATTTCACAGGATTAAACTGCGCCATTCAGTCAACTGAATGTTTACTGAAAGGTACTGAATGTTCACTGAAAGGTACTGAATGTTCACTGAAAGGTATGGAAAAGTGACTTAATGACTCCAACCTTTCAGTCACCTTTCAGTTAATTAAATACCATAGTCTCATCATGTGTTTACTTTAACTAAATTAAGTTGTTTAAATTAGAGTGGGAAGGTGCTCCTCTGCTTAATATGATGTCCTCGTTCAAATTTTATGGTACAAGCAAAATTTCTTTTGTCAACAATCAACTTTTACTGTTCTTCTATTACTTTATATTTAAAACAGAAAATAATTGCATTTTTACTTCCCTTGACCTTATAGCTTGTTCTAATGATTGGAACATTTTCTGTGACAGAGCCTTTCGTATAAACATTCTCTCTTTTAATAGAGAGCATGTTCAGTAAAATGTCTAGTAAAATATCATTCAAAATTTAACCGACAAGCATACAAAAGAAAAAAACTTATAAAGCCTCATTTTTCCGGCAGTGTTTAAATGAAAAGTATATGTTTAAACACATATAGTCAAACCGCGCTATCTCGAACTCGATGGGACCGATAAAAAGCTTGGAAGTATTCGAGGATTTGAGATATCAAGGGTAAAATAAAAAAAAAAGGGGGAAGAAGCGGTTGGGACTTCCAAATCACTTCGACAATCCATGGTATTTGAGATATCGGTGTTCGAGATACTAATGTCCAACTGTATTTATACAACATTCAATTCAAGAAAGATAGTCATTTTTTTTTATATTTAATAATCTTAGTCTTGCGGCCAAACGCTTGACACAGGGGACATGAGTATTAAAATATTTTCCATTATTAGAAAGTATGTAAATTATAGGAATGCATAATGAAAAACCATCTGCAATCAATCAACATATACATGCATTTACATGAAGAAAAATTTGTCAGAAGATAGAATTTAGAAACAATATTAAAGAATCGTATCTATCTGTGTTCAGAAAAATAAAGCCAAAATCAGTACCATCTATTCTCTCCTTTTATTATTTTTTTAAGTAAATTTGAAAACAAAATTAGAATTAGAAAAGGTGTATGAACAATATGTTTTGGTTCTCAAAGCTTCCAACAATATAGGTTCAATATTACAACAGCGTTTGAAAGAACTTGTCTTTAATTTCACATCTAGTAATCCCACTAATACTTAAACCTTTCAAAAGATGAAATTCTTCACAATTACTGTTCAGGTTAATATAGTTTTAAAGTCCAGTAAATGAAAGTGAATATGATTTACAGTACCTATATTGAATTCCAAAACTTCACAGAAATCCTTACGACAAAGGTACATTTAAGGGTCCAGTAAATGTTCTACTCACAAAACTATTAACTGCTGTGAAGGAGATACTTTAGACGCACTGTACACGTACTACAACTTATTCAAGAAGTGATATTAATCAAATGTGGAGTCTCAAAGACTCAACAATAAAAAACACAGGAAATTTAAAATCACAAAAGTTTCCCCCAAACCAATAATATCAAAACGTATGATTCTTCGACACTTTAAATTATACAAGCATAACTCAGAAAAAACTAAATTCCAGGGTTTTGATATCATAGACAACAATTTCTTCAATAAAAAAGGAACTCAAAAATTTTCATTTTTGGGATTGGTTACCTACAAAATTACTTAAGTTTATTTAAAAAAAAAATCAAATTCTACACACAATTACTCTAAGTTGATATTAAGAGACAATATATATGTAGTCCTTGCAAATGTTCTTTTGCCAAGCGCTCGGCACATTGAAGCGTAAGTTGCGGGTCTTTCGGACGAGACCTTAAAAACAGAGTCCTCGTGTCACGGCAGGCGTTGGCACATTAAAGAACCCTCACTGGTCAATAGCCCTGAGTGCCGAGTATAGTCATAATTTAAAGCCCTTAACCAATATATGGTGACGTCTCTCTATGAGTGGAAAGTTCTCGAATAGGATGCAAAAAACATACAATCAATCAATATATGGATGTTTTTCATTAACTGATTTCAAGGTCAAAGTGTGGGACAAAAGTCAATCCCCAGAGGGCCTATCTATTTAAGAGTGATTGCTATTTTGTTATTTTACTCCACTGCGAGATTTTTTCACTTCTATGAGACGTCACTAAAAACCTGTAAACGCCTTCAAATTTAGACATACTCGGCATTCAGGTCCATTGAGGAGCGAGTCAGGGTTCCTTCGCACAAAGCTTAAGGTGACACGAGACCTGCGTATTTAAGGTATCATAAAGACTCGTGACTTTCACTTCTAATGCCCGGCGCTTGGCATAGACACATTCACTATACCTAGTATGTTATACGTTTTACATGTAGATTTGACGCGGCGCCAGGAACGAGAATCGAACCCTGACCTCCCTATCACTAAGCTAGTGCCCTACTACTAAGGCTATCGCGACCCCTTGTCCTCAGATGCACTTAATTGCGCGAAGTGTGAAATTGGCAGATCATAAATTGAATGTGACATCCGAAGTAGAGAGAAATGCTAAACAAACGAACAAACAAACATTGGCGCAGACAGGGGCATTCTATTTCTGTAGATATCTGATTTGGGTCATAAAAGAATAAACAGTGTTTGTTACTGTGTATCTGGATTACCCGTTGTAAATATTTGCTGACATGTATTGAAAAAAAATTAAATTTGACTAATCTGACACGCGCATTTTTGGGTTAAAGTTATATAGTATATACATTAATAATTTTCAATTATAAATTTAGTCATGGAGTCAATCAAAAGGAAAAAAAAAGAGAAAAAAGCTTCCAAAATTTTGCCACAATTTAATTTCCTTCCCACCTGATCCCACATTAAGTAACGGGGTCAAAAGTTATCAAGAATTATATATCAATTTGTACATGTACATTAACAAAGAACCAACGGTGTATTGCATAACAATTATAACAATTTTGTTCCAGTACGTATTGCACTTAGAACAAACATACTCATTCACACCTCAGCATATTCATCAACATGACAGTAAAGTTTTGAAAACTTAACTAAAACAATATTTCAATATATAGACTTAAAGCTATGAACTGTCCGTCTCTCGCGTCTCTTTCTTCTTCGATGAAAATTCTGTAATCTTTTTCTGGTGGGTATAGAACGAACACGAGTGATATTTCCTACATAAACAGGTGGTTTGATTTGATTTTTAACTGTATAGTTTGACACAGATTTTGTTATATCAGTGTCACTTGTATTTGTAAAATCTTTTTGAATATAGCTTTTCTTTTGATCTGAATTAGTGCTGCTTGAAAACGTAACAACTTCTAATACTTCACTATCATTTCTTTTTGATTGCTGAAACGTATGATTTCTGTGAGAAGGAGAAAATGGTAAAGATGAAGGTTGGTTCATTTTTAGTTTTTCACGATGAAAAGTTCTGTCTGGTTTTTTTCTCTTATTTGAATTGTATGTTTTAAGTCTTTCTTCCTGGTATTTCTTTACCTTTGCTACCCATTCTTCATAGGAATTGGATGACATTATAAAACGATCAATCATTGATTTTGGATTGAGTTCTGAATTTTTCTTTCTTTCATAATAACGTCTTAAATGGTCATCTCCTCTTATCTTTCTTACTATCCTTTGTAACTTTTTAGGTCTGAACTTGAATTCTGTGTCTTTCCAAAGGTATCGTTCATCGTTTAACATGGCTGCCAATTTTCTATTTGGTTCCTCGAAAAAATCAGTTAATATTTCCCATGTTTCGTTAAGCATAGAACCTTGATTTTGTTTCCGTTTTGTCTCGTACTTGTGTGGCATCTTTATAATTTCGTTCAACAGGTTTGACGGAATGTCTCCTACAATGAATAGAAATTTGAAAAATGTATGAACACAAGTTCAGGTGATATATATATAAGCTCAGTTTGACCAAATTTTCTTGAACGACGATTGAAATTTAACTTTATTCTGTTCTTATTATTTATATATATATATATATATATATATATATATATATATATATATATATATATATATATATATATATATATATATATATATATATATTTGGTAGGTAATTTAGTATATTGCTTCCTATATATTTTTTTGCTAAACTTTGGACCTTTTTTTGTTGCCCAATCCCTGCCCTTGGTGAGAGAAAAATCAAATTTTATTTATAGGCACTTTATCAACGCTGGGGCTTTTTTTATTGTGACAAAGAATCACCTGTAACTACTAGGTACACTAACGGGAACAGAAATCTATTGTTTCATTGAGGCCACAACAATCATATAAGAAATACAAAATGGGGCTAATTGTGGGGTCTGATCTGTAGTAGGAAAGGAGGAGAACAAATACACACTGAAAATTTGTTGCTGGACCTGGAATCGACCCTGAACCCCTGCATTGCTAGTCAGGTGCTATCCAGGTCGATGTCCATTGTCCACATAGCCCAGACGAACAACTTATGTCAATGTTCTATATATATATATATATATATATATATATATATATATATATATGAAGGGTTTAAGGGTGATAAATTTCATTAATGTTGCATAGGCAGTTATTTGGTGAATTGTACCTTTCATAAAACATAACTTTAATCACATGTCACAAACGATTTGTTGACATTATGAAACACACCTACATGTACTTACCCACACCAAGGAAAGCAAATAATTTAAGAAGACTGTATTTCATATCTTTTTGATAATCTTCATTCCTTAAAATAAATATCTGTTCCCTGGGAAATACATCGAGCCACTCTTTGAGGTGAATATAGTATAAACTAGCAGACAGTGGAAGCTGAAAAAGATATGACAAGACATTTCTCAGAAATTTTTCTAATGTTGAAATGTATAATGCATATAAAATAGACGACATGAACTTTTCTGAAGTGTGGATTCAAAAGAATAATTGTAAAATTATGTATAAAATCACAAATATGAATCTCTAGTGCATATTAGTCAATTGTATGATAAATGGAAAGGTCAATATTGGATTGTTCTTGTCAATAACATTAATAGAAGTGGATTTATTGGTTATATACATGTATCATCTAGATGAATTGCATATTTTATAATGTATATAGTCGACATTGCCTTCTGTGACGCGGTAGTAATAATACAAATGTGAATTATGTTACTTTTCCTTCAAAACAATAAACATGTTCATGTAATTTAACAGAAATCCGTTTGTGTACATTTTTCCTTCCCTTTTTAAAGAAAGAAGATATTAAACAGCTTTAATTTTATTCATTCTAACAGGATCTTATCTTTCAATATGCAGCCTTACACGCATTAATTGTGTTATATCATGTCCATATAAACAAGTTTTGAAACTGTTGAAGGAGAGGCACTCATTTAACACTTGTATCCCTGTGATGACGTCATGATGAAATTCTTCCGATGTTCTGCCATATCTTCCATGGTAATAATGACTATACAATCTAAAAAATTCAAATAAACACTACATGTAAGTACACGTATAAGAAAATTAAAAAAATGACTCTCTTTCATTTTACTCCATCAGAAATTCATTTGCTCCTTGGTTAGCTGCAGAACTGTAGCGTTATGGTTGTACATTTTAGTCCTTGACCATAACACTATGTACAGATCCCGTGATGTAAATAAAGTGCAATTTACGGCGCAAGATTTTCTGCGCACTTTAGGGATGTATTTCTCCACTTTCCTGCATTGGTCAATCAACGACCTTTCATCCCCTAATTCTAGACATATTCTATAACCAACGTGTATATTTTATCCACCTCCTAACCCTTTCTAGTCGTCTCTACAGACCAATAAACTCGCTTGTTCTGAATTTGGTGTCGGATGGCATAACGAGTTTATTGGTCTGTAGAGACGACTTTACATAGTACAAAAACACTTTGAGCTATGTACATGTAGCTAAGTTATCATTATATAGACGAAATATTTACTTTGTTATAATTTGCTACTTAAAAGATTTCATGAATATGAATAAAGGGGGCGTATTTTTGCAGCCTGAAATTTGGAAAAGGCTGTGCCTATGTTATACCTTTCTGCAGGTTCGCGAAGCAGCAGAATCAATTTGATGTTTGGTTGTACATGCTTTACTAAGTGTGGTGTCAAGAATTTTGGTGACTTTGAATATGGGGCGTTCTGTGGAATTTCTCGCCAATGACTATGATCCCAAAAATCCATAGGATCACCATGACCTGCAGAGAAAATATTATGTCAGAACAAACAATTCTCAATGTTTGAAATGTCAAAAAAGTTTCATGTTTGAATATGTATAAAACTAGAAATATATCCATAGGATACAAATGCTCCGCCCAGGGTTCGTAAATAATGCAACATGAAAAGAAATGTATCTTGCTTCTTTTTTAAGATGAGGATAAACGACTAATAGTTTTAAGTCTTTTTTAATTTTAAGTCTAATAGTACTAGTGAGGTGAAGGTCACAGAGATGGATTAGGTCAGAAAATTATGATACAGTTAAGTAGTTCTCATTAATTTGTATAAGTGTATGAAGTTTGATGAAAATATCCTAAATAATTTACTTGAAACTGAGTTAAAAACACAACAAATAGTAAAGTCAAAGATCAAAGGTCATGGTAAAAAAAAATTGGACACAGTTGATGAGTTCGCACCAATCTGTATTAGTGCATGTGTGTAAATAACTACATCTTCAATATAGTTTCTTTAAAACCGAGTTAAACGCAAAATAAAGTATATGGGCACAGTTGAATATTTTTCACCAATATATATTAGTATTATATGTGTTTAAATAAAAATATCTTAAATAGCTTCTTAAATAGTTTCTTCTTAATAACAGCTCTGGCAGAGTCTAAATTTTTAAGGAAAATATTAAGATATTGAATGAATTGAAATTAAAAGAATCTATTAATAACCAAATTAACATCTTACCTGTAATAAGATCCGAATACTGTGACCAGTCATCTAATGAAGTTTTTGTCTCTCTCATTTTATCCATGCTGAATAGCATCGAAAACTCGTCTAGTGTAATTTTTGTCTGATTTATGGTGGCTAGATATTATATATGAAATGATAACAGTAAATTTAAAAGATAAAATGCAACGAGCAAAATTAGATAAGATAGATGAAACTTTACAACTTTAAAAAAATTACTAAAGTATTTCACATGCAAATGACTATTCTATTATTGAAACAATTGGTTTATTAATTTGAAAATTATTGACCAAACTTGTTTACTTATATACGTACGTAATTTAGTGTATGAGGTCTACTTTGTTATCAAAAGTATGATTAAAATAATTATCACACTACCAAAATCCTACAATTCTTAATTTGAATTCACTTCAATGTTACATTGTGAGATAAGGAGAAATTGCAATAGAATTACCTTGGCCATAGCGCCTCCAGGACCAGTACCAAGTCTCCTTATTAAGAAGACCAAAATTGTTCAATATCTGTGGATGTTGGGTTAGCCGGAAAAAAAGATCTGTCGTCCCAGTCTTACAAACACCAAATATATGGAAGTATGGAAAGCAACGGAGCTCTGTTTGTACGGGATAACTTCCATAGTCGTCTATCTCTTGAAGCCAGCATGGATTTTTGTAATTCTTTAGAAACTGCTTTCTCTCCTGATTGTAAAAACATATCTTTATCATTGTTTTACATAAAATGTAACTGTTATTAAAGTGAAGTCAAATTCCATCAAAATTATGCAACAGCTGTCTCAAAGGCAAACTCACACATTCTTATCAGGGAAATGTTGAACCTTAAAAAAATTATTGGGGGGGGGGGGGCGGGACAACAAAATTACTTTTTTTAAGGAAAAAAGAAGACAAAGGCGTAGAAACTCTAATAGATATGCATTTTACAACACATTTTGCATGTACTATCATACATTGCGTATTAAGATACAGTGATACAATGATATTGTCCTATACAAAAATTTAGAATTTTTCAATTTAAATTTGTATATACAAAATTAAATTGAAAAATTCTAAATTTTTGTATAGGACAATATTATTAAATGAAATCGACATGCCGCTTGCTATTGTCAGTTACTGACCGACAAGAGCCATACGTACGATTCCTTACTGCTAATTAAAATAAACAATATTCATGATTTTAGTAACTCCATTTCGATTTAAAAGTTAAGAACTACTGTGGCAAGCTTGGCATGTCAATCAAAACTTTTGTTCCCATTTCTTTATATCTTATTTGTGCCATAAGACACATAAGATTACTAAACACATACAATATTACAGGGTGTTTTGAGACGATATAAGCATAAAGAATTTTTGAAAAGTATGTTTCTTTAATTTGGTTGAATTAGCATTTTAAAATGTCACATATCTATTGAAACATACTTGACGAATTTTACTTATATTTCTCTCATTTTTGAACAATTTATTTATGACCATACGATCATTCATTGGGGCGTGACCCTTACTACTTCTTAGACAAGTGGCTGGTAATGAACAACAACTATGAGTACATGTAGATATAATGCAGAATAACTAATATATGTCAAAAGTAATTAAAAATCTTGTTTTACATATACATTTACAACACACGATATTAGAAAAATATTATAGCGATGTATTTATCGATGGTGTGTTTAGCATATAGTTGATATGTATAATATATGAATAATCCCTAAATAAATGTATGTATAACATATAAATAGTCCCTTAATACGCGTACAATATGTATAGCCCATTAACAGGTATATAACATATTTATATTCTATTGAATGTTTAACATAAATGTAGATATAGTCGCTTAATGTGTATATCAACATGTACATGTATATAGTCCATTAATATGTATTGTAAAATATGTATAGATCATTAAAGGTCATATACCTGTTATATATGTAGCTTTTTAAGGTATACATACCATGCAAAGAATATCTTCGGCAGCATCCTCTTCAATGTTACTTGGGCAATAATACCCTGGGACCTCCTCAGTAAACACATCAACATTATGCAAAAATAGGGATTCAATCGATGGCGTTATTAGTTTTCTTTTGACGTCAGTGTGGAAAAACATGTACAGCACAGAAAAGCTCCCAAAGAAACACAGCATATAAAACCACTGAAGCAGACTTTTCATCCTGAAATATTTTAAACAAACACCGTAAGAAGTACAAATGTACATGTATTAGAACTCATATAAAGAGAGGTAAAGAGAGAACGGATAAGCTCTTGGAATTGAGTTTTTCATATTTCAGTGGATGTACCAAGTTTCAATTCTGTAACTGATTTAATAATTTATATGCATGTAGAGTTGAGATTTTGTTTGGCTATTTTCAATACGTCTTACTGATATTCATAATTTCAGTCGATAGATTTCTTTTTTTACCTTTACTCGGTTTATATTTCCCTTCTTAAGAGAATGCCTGATAGATAAGAACAGCTTTAAATTCGACCATTTTAGTGTGAAATTGAAGTGGACGATAATGACCTACAATATACATTATATCAATATTTACATCAGCTAAAATTGATCAATGTAACCGTTAAAAAGGTAAAAGTATTTAAACCATGTAACACATTACTAAATCATTAGGTTGACTAATATAGGTTTGTGGACACAATTTTCTATTGAGGGCAATAACGTACATGTATGAATATATTAATCAGCACAATGAAGCTTTTGGTTAAGTTATACATTCATTAAGTACATAGCAATTTTCTAAATAAGTCTCGATGAATTTAGATTTATACAATTACAGGAAATAATACATTCATCCATAATCTTTATAACATACAAGACACCTACAAATATTTTTTTAAAGTATCTTACTGTTTTCTGCTAAAGCCCTATTATCATATCCGATACGAAGATATACATGTCAGCATCGCTCAATCCGTGTCAAAATTAAGTCTCAAGCTTTCCAGACGTATTTTCCAAAAGTTTTAATGAACAGGTCATTTGGATTTAAATGGCTTTTTGACCTTTATTCATTTTCCTGATTGAAATCACCAGCATTAATGGCTGAGCGAACAATAATCATGATAATGTGTATGAATGGCAACAGAAATACTGCATCGTTTTATATCAATGGGATACTTCCATTGAACCACAGAGCATGACATGAATTTCTTATTAAAGTAGTTCTTCATTACAAGCAATCCCAATGCTTTCTGGATTTTTTAAAGTCCATTTACAAGTAATTTAGCCGCTTTGCAAGGTTAACTGGATGCGCGGTCACGTGAATGATTTCTGTAATATTCAATATTTACATTCACCATGTATTTTGCTTATAAAGTGTGAGGAAAGCTACGGCATTCAAAACACCGTAACACCGACAGAGGGTCAGAAGGTTAAAAGTATGCGTTTTATTTTGACGTCACAAACGTTGAAAGCCGTGGCAGTGCAACGTCATAAGTGAAAATCAAAATTCACGTACACATTGAACCGAAGCTGTTGCAACGGCTCTTCTATTAATTGTGACTTACCCGAGGGATTTTGAAAAATAAATCACCTTTGCAGTCAAGGCAAGGAGTTAAAAAATGTAAATATAAGCATTGAATCATTATTTTTTGAAAGATATAGTCTCATTATAAAGTTTTTCTTCTCTGGATAAACTAGGTTATTTTGAGCACATATTTTCTCACTATAGTAAGAACGATAACTCGTACTTTTCACAATTATGCAACTGGGCATGCTCAAGGGTAACTTCCTTTTCCAGCTGAACAAGAAAGCTGCTACACATTGTAGGTGCCAGAAATTTAACTGAAAGAACACGCCCACCCTCTCCAAATTATAACTTGTGCGGTAAAGCTTGGCCTTAAAATTTGGTGTTTGTTTAACCTTATATAATGTATGTTTGTTTGTTTGTATGTTGTTTAACGTCCCTCTCGAGAATTTTTCACTCATATGGAGACGCCACCACTTGCCGGTGGAGAGCTGCAAATTTTTGTCCTATACTCGGCACTTACGGCCATTGAGCAGAGAGGGATCTTTTTCGTGCCAGCACCTACTGCGACACGGGACCTCGGTTTATACGGTCTCATCCGAAGGACCGGTCTCCACGTCCCACAGTGGGATTCGAACCCGCGACGTAAGGATTAACTCCTTACGCCGCGACTCTAGGGCAGACGCTCTAACCACTGCGCCACGCGGGCGACTATAATCATACTGTATGTACTGCTAGGCTAGTTAAGCATTGTTCAAGATTTACATGTTTGCAATATTTGTAGAACAGAAATTTTGGTTTTTTTTTTCAAATTTATATTTTCAGCGTCATGGACCATTACATTGATTGATCATATGCACATCAACAAAGACTGAAGCTGGAACCGATGATTATGCGCCAGTGACTGTAAAAAATTATGTTTTGTGACGATTTAAAGACAATATTAATGGCAGAATTTTGCATAGAATGCCACCTCCATGGGGCACTGTTTCCTCCAGGTCCCTTGGATCAAGGTGGTATTTCTACTGCTTTGAGTTGTTTGTGTATATGCTGCCACATCGATTTGAAGATCGGCAAATATTTTGTTGTTTTGTTAACAGATGGGAATAAATGGCCATGACAAGCACGCCAAACATTAATTATTAGTTATGTCTTAATTAGGTAAGGTCTTTAGGATAATTATCAAATTTCTCATAAATTCTATTTATTTGTCCTTCAATGGTAAAGAATAATGAATTGTAAGGGGCGCCTTGGTGTCTAAAAATAACTGCAACGGTGTGTGCAAACAAATTTTCATAACGCGCTAACGCACGTTACTCAATTTGTTTGCACACACCGTTGCAGTTATGAGACTATATCTTTCAAAAAATAATGATTCAATGCTTAAATATCATTGACACTGCAGTGACTTACATTCATAACCGTTAACCTTAACACTAGTAAGAAGCAGTAAGCTACACTGTCCTATAACTAATATGAATAAATATATGCATTTAACTTGTATGGATAAAAAAATAGTCTTGGTTAAGTTTAAAACATATATTTTATTTAAGGAATGAATTTAATACCTATCCAATTTATACGGTATAAAGTGGGTTAGGGCAGTTTACGCTTTATAAACCGCAAAGCTGTTCCAACCCACTTTATACCGTATAAATTGGGTAGCTATTAATTTCATTCCTCATAATTTAATTTTCATTCATTTAGTTTAAGAAAAAAGATGATTGCCCTTAAAAAATGACTTGAAGTCAAATTGTACAAAATTTAAATGTAACGTCAGGCGGATCGATACGTTTTTGACGAAAGTCATTGTGACGTAGGCAACCCAATTTATACGATATAAAGAAATTATTTTTATCCAATCAAATGGCGCGTTACAATCAGAATTAAATTATTTGAAAATAAGCATTATGTTCAAACATATAGTGAAGAATATCAAAAAGGATTCGGAAACAAGTAAGAAACATACTTATTATGTGTCGATGTTATAAATAAAAGATCAAGCTTATTGGGTATGTACAGAATAAACACGGTGAAACGATTAATAACACAAGAAGATAGAGTTTGAAATTCTACATGCATGCTGAATTCAGAAAACAACATAGTCTTGGTTTGAGTTGTGCAAAAACAACAGATAAGGAGAAATCGGAATAATTCTTAAATGTAACCATTGTTGCACTTATTATTTTCGTTTCAGAAAAAAATAACACAAAATTATTTCTTGACTTTAATACATATCTTTAGACAGTTTGGTTCATAAATTAATTCACGAAACATGTAGATTCTTTAGTTGATATGCTATTTTAAATTAATTGTTTTTTCATTTGTATCAACTGTATTATTTTTCTTTTTTAATTTGCATGACATAATGTACATGTAATATATAAGGAGAGGAATTTAGTAAGTTGTATAGAACTTGATTCAAATCCTTTTGATGTAATCAATAACATATGTTCGAAACAAAACAGTTTGGTTAATATCATTGTCAGTGTAAAATGATGCTTGCCCGATATTTTATGGGAAATGGAACTAAAGAATTAAAACAAATATAAAATCCTTATTTATATACATTGATATGATGTCATTACATTAATTTCACGAACTATAAGTATTATAATAAAATATATTACTTACATATTAACAATGAAAATGTCACATCCTCAACACGCAATTATTGCACATGTATTTTGAAGGTCAGTGTCTATCTTTCAAGCTCATTAAACCCAATTTCTAACTATATGTTACCCATTACACAAGAATACCCCATGTATTAGAATATGCCCGATCTTCAGCTCCCCTTTGGGAGGTAGACTTAAAGTTGTCACTTTGATACATTTTTTTTTCCAATTAGATATTTCTTGTATATTCAGAAATACTTCGTTTTTTTTTTAAATGCTGGGCAGTTTCCCACTGCAGTGTTATTGATCTTATAAGTACAAGTTCGAGGCAAATTCAAACAAAAATATCTTTAAAAATACAAAAAAAAATGTTTACCTTGATGTACTTATCCTTAAAAATGCCAGAACTAACATTTTAGGGGGAAAGCATTAAATTCGAGAATTAAATGCGCATTGCCTTACCCTAGATGTGATTTTAGTAACATCTTGTAATTTTCTTCACTGTACACCTGCATTCCAAAACAATATGATGCCATAGTTAAACAATGCGCAAGTTTTGAAACAAAAATTATGCTTTTTTTTTAAATAAAGATATGATACTTTGTATTTGCAATATCATAACAAATATATAGACGTCCGTCAAACGGCAAACTTTTGCTTATATTGTAACACTCCTTCCATTATGAAGCAAAAGGCATAATATAAATTTCCAGAGGAAAAAAAAGTTGAATAGGGTTTCTAAATCAACGTACTTGAGGATGCAAACCCACTGAATTTAATGCTATTATGATATTCATATTTATTCCCACTACAATGAAGAGTTAACTAGTTTTATTCGTAAAAAAGCATCTTGTAAACCCGGCTAATATTATTAATGAAAAAAAGGAACCATTTCTGTTTCTTGTGTATTTGGGGTTTAAAATTAATTCACAACTTCAGTATGAATTTCTGTGACCATGTGGTTAATCTTGTAATCTTTAGCACAATATAAGGTTTGGATTTTTGTTATAAAAGAAAATCCATTTCGTATGATATATTCTAGATACATAGTAGTGTTTCGAATAAAACAA